AAAAAAAAAGCAGCTTTTGTTATTCTTTTTTAGGGTACTGGGAATCAAACTTGCCAGGCAGGTGCTATGCTGCTGAGCTATATCCCCAGGCCCATTTTTATTCTCAAACAAAACTGAAAGAAAAAAAGTCATATGTACAATAAATATCCTGAAGGCTACTTCTTTCAAAAGATGTCTATTTTGACCAGACACATATCAATAATTAGGCTAACAAAAACCAGTCCCTGGAACATCTTCGGTAGGAATGGGATTATATATTTTAATTTTGTCCCTTTTCTACATCTCTAACCATAAAATGCTATTTTCTATTTTTTTATATAATTCGTACAAGGTCTACAAGGTCTCACTATACGTGGAATTATAGCAATCCTATTTTCAGCCTCCCAAGTGCTGGGAATATAGATGTGAGCCATACCACCCCCAGTCTCAGTTGCAGTCTCAGCATGCCCCAGGGGCTGGGCTGGCACAGCACAACGGGGATCAAACCCCGATACCTCCGCCTGCCTAAGCAGGAGCTTTAGTCCGTTGAGCTGTCTGGCTGGCCCATAGAATGCTATTTTCAGCTGTTTTCTAGTGGTACCACATGTATACTTTAATGACTATTGCTATAAAACTAGGAATGTTGAATAAAGTCATTCCTATATAGTTCTTAAAAACTTCTTAAAGGCAGATCTCGATTCTGGACCATATAAACAGATAAATGAAAAAAACTAGATGAATAAAAACTTCCTGAAAACATAAACAACAGATAACTCTGAAGTACAATTTGTACCTTCATTCTTTAATCACTATAAAATTAGATGCTATTGTGTTCAAAGTGTGAAATATAGTTATGTATAACAAACCATTCCCTCTTTCCCTTTATGATAATTAAGAATAGCACACCAGGGCCAGGGAGGTAGCGGCATAAGTGCCTGCCTGTCAAGTGAAAAGTCCTGAGTTCAATCCCCAGTTCAGAGAACAAAACAAAAGAATAGCATGCACTCTTAAATGATTTAATGAACCATACTATACACTACATTATGTGTACTAGATACTCCACTAAGAAAGAGAAAAAAAGTA